GATAGATAGATAGATAGATAGATAGATAGATAGATAGATAGATAGATAGATAGATAGATAGACTTAATTTCCCTCTGGGATCAATATAGTATTTTTGAAATCGAATTGAATGAATGAATGAATGAATGAATGAATGAATGAATGAATGAATGAATGAATGAATGAATGAATGAATAAATAAATAATGCTGCACAATTAAAAACAACAATAAAAACAATACTTGTGAAAATACAAATAGACATTCCTTGTCCGGTCTGGTCTCAGGTGTGCGGGGTCACATAATTGTGTGTTACACCCTCGCTCAGACGMAGATCAGCTGTTGGCTGCTCGCGCGGAGGGAGGAAGTGATGCAGGAAAATGTCCATAATGTAGTTCAGCGTCTCAAAAAGGGGGAAGCACAAAGAAATAGGCAGGTTTATTCCGTGATTGCTTTTTTTTTATTTCCACTAAGTTTACATAGCAAATAAAGCAGAGAATGGACGAAAATGTAAACTCTGACTGTTAGCTCTTGACTTGTTTATTTGTGAAATCGAGAACAACTTTACGGTGGAAGTTTTTTCTTTCTTTCTCTCGCTCAGCTCAGTGCTAGTTAGCTAACAATCTGACGACGAGTTTGCTTCACTTCGTTTCTGCTCGGGTTTTTTTTTTTTTTTTTTTTTGGGCCAACTTATTTTACTACTTTGTCTTGACTGGCGTGTCTGGAAGGATGTACAAACCAAACGACACGATACGGCCTTTTTCTAAAAAGGTAAGTTCCTTTTCGGGGGACATTTAGCTTTTATTTTTGTATCAATCGGGAAAGACCTAGCTTAGCCGCTAGCTAACTTTTAGCCATGTCGACGTCGTCAGGGCCAAGCAGTTTAGATGTAGACATTTAAATGACTGAAAGAGGATGAAGTATCGAAGRCCAATAATTGGAAATAACCGTAAATTACCCAAAACATTTAGAAATGTCACTTTTATTTAATGTTAGGAAGTGTTTACATCTCATTTGGGAGTGTTGTACATGTGCTGCTAAGCTTCCTTGATCCTGTTCAAGTGTTTTGCTCTTTCTAACAAACAGTAGTTGTTGGAGTAATCATATGGTTCGTTTTAATGAACGTTTATAAAACTCTGACAACATTGTTGACCGAGTCGTTGACGTTAATAATAAAACTTTACTTCCCCTCGGACACTTTCGAAGACCAGCTAATCCGGTTAGACTGATGTCTGGATGTGCTGCATGGTGTCAAGTCAGTTTATTTCTATTTATGCACGTTTAAAAACAGTAGCAGTTGAGCAAAGTGTTGTATAACGTGAAATTACTTACTAAATTAGCAGCAGCAGCAGTAAGCTTGAATCACACTAGATCCTCAAAGTTAAATAAACATGATCTTGCACAAGTAGAGCCTTAATAAACGAGGACTGACATTTAGTGAGAAGAAATACTCAGAGCTTAAACAAGGCTCTTTGCTTTTTATTATCAGTAACTACAACAGAGAGAAGTTTGTGGTTCATAAGTAATCAGAAAGTTGTACATTTTGCATTAATGTGTTCTACAATTTGCTTCATTTTGGACAATATATTTGAAACTATCGGTCAAAATCCCTTTGTGCACACTCAGATATTGTGCAAATTCTATAACTTGTCTCTTTTGGAAGATTACATTAGTTACTGAGTAAACCTGCATGTAATTATTAGCAGGGTTACAGATTAGTTGTGCTCAGATGACATACTGAAAGTGTGTGGACAAAAATAGTTGCTGCAGGTTTGGGGCTGATGAGCTATCACTTTCTGCTTATGATGACGAGATAATGTGTCTTTTCAGCATTGCTGATGTCAAGGTCACGACGATGGAGCAGATCTGAGAGACGATGCTGGCTGAAGGAGTGTCTGTAAGTAACATTTTTTTTAAATCCTCCGYTCCTCTTGTCGTATTACATGGAATCATGACAAACATTGAGTGGGTGTAGTTGGGAATATAAACACACAATGCTGTTTTGTTTTAGTAGCTGGGATGGTATACACAGGATGACGCATTTAGAAATGGAGCTCCAAACTTTATCAAACTGGTTAAAGCTAATATCAGTGTGTATTGATTTTTTTTTAATTAAGAAATTTAACATGATTATTTGAGCTTGCTAGCCTGGCCCTTGCCTTCCTACGCAGCTCCGCTCATTTCTAGTTTCCCTTCTCTGCTCCGTCTGGGATTTCTCCCATAGACAAGGATTTTGCTGGCAGATTTTTAGCCGGGCCAATCAGAGAACAGAACGTTGATTTTCTGTGCAGTGTCTGCTTGTAGTTTTATTTTATCTGGGCCAATCAGCAAACAGAAGGAGGAGTTTTGAATGACGTTGATTTTCTGCTCASTGTCTGCTAGTTAGTTAGCGATGGCAGTGGAGGAAGTGAATGAAGCCAGTCTGTGTTGATAAGGCTTCCAAATTAAATTAAATTTGTCTGACAAAGCTGCAGCTCTCATTTACAGTCGTCTCGTTCAGCTGAGTACTTTTCTCTTCTCAGTAGGGTTGTCTACAGCGCACACGATTTCCGGTTAGCTTGTTAGTTTAGCCTCCTTCACAGCGACATACACACACTTCAGCAGAGGCCACGCCTCCTGCAAGGATCACTTCTCTATAGCCGAGAGTCCAGACCCTCGTACGAAGCAAAGTGAAGGACAAGTGTCTGGTTTTTACCAGGCTATGAGCTTGCCACTGAAAACTAACGGTATCTGAAAGTTTTCGGGTGTATTCACTCTTGACACATTTGATCTGCTTTAAATGGACCAGAGTTCATTTCCTCTGTTGGTTTGGACATTTTATCAGGGGTGAATACATTCATGCAAACCACTTTTTGAGGTAGTTACTGTTCGCTTCCAAACAAACTCTGGTGTGATTCGCTTCTGCTGGGAATACAGACCTGCCTCGACTCGAACCAACTACAGGAAACGTGCCTTTTTGGACTTCACGAGCCACCATTTCTAAACATCACGGTAACAATTGGCCCTTCAGTGCTGCTAACGCTACCACTACATGGGCGCTACAGACAATGAGCTGTGAACAGACCTGGAGCAAACGAGGAGACACTGTCTCCTCAATATTTGGACAGATACACACATAACTTAGCTGCTAGAGACGACACAAAACTATGTGGTCGTGTTCTCCATTAGTGAGGAAATGAATGGAGCTGGGATTCAAGTGGTCTCCAGAACAATGATGGATAACAGTGAAAAAACTTTGATTAGACATCTTTTATTCCACGTCTGTGCTCTGTCCTGCCCCCGTCATTTTCATCTGTTGGGACCAACATTTGTCACTCGCATGGCTTTGTTTACAAATTATTGTTTGCTTGCAAAAAAAGCAAAAATGTGAATGTTAACTGAACCAAACAAAAAATAAAATAGTCGCTTTTTGTTCATCCCAAACAAGGTGACCAAAAGACTTTCCTGGTGTGAATACACTCTTAAATATCTTCAAAATACTCATAAGAAATGTAACATGAGATACAATATGTTAATAACTCTGTGAATTGGCAGACGTGTACCCATTTTTTGTGTTGGTTAGTGTTGAATAACTCTGACGGTTATCTTGAATTGGATTAACTCCAAAAACTAATCAGTTCTAGATGTTCACTCAATGGTTACTCTGAAAGTTTCATGAAAATCCCTTCGGTGATTCACGGTCTGTTTTGCTAACAGATAAATGGGGCTGACTCCTACAGTTATTGCTAAATCTTTAAGCAACGATCTTACACGGTGAGTAAAACTTGGARGATGTGTTGTGAATTGCTCAGCTCCAGCCACACAAAACTTAGGCCCAATATCTGGAAATAGACTGAATTACAGCCATTTCTGTGTTTTTGTAGGTCATTTGCCTGTTTCAGCTTTCTGACATTGGCTTCAAAAATGAATTGCTGTAAACCCTGAGATTTTGTTCTCAAACATTTGTTAAAATATGTTCAGTTTTTCATTATTATGCTTACAGACAAACCTGTCTTCAAAAAGTTTGTAACAAATTTTCAAAGCTCTTGAGTAATCTGTTATCTTTCACAATAACCGTACTGTAAGGGAYCACTTTCAGCTACATCCACACCAAAGCTCAGCTCAGTTTCTTTAAAACTGTGCTGTAGCAGCCATTTTGAATCAGTTTGACTTCAAATGAATCATTTGTAAATGTTTATTCAGCGAGTGTTTTCTGGAAGTTTTATTGAAATGCACGTAGCAGTGTGTGAGATCGATATGTAACAGACACGCACATACAGTCAAAACGTTATTTCCCCTGCCTTTGCTATGTGGAGGCAAACAATCAAAAAGAAAAACAACAAAAAAAGAATTTTTCCTTGTCAGCTCATCATTACAGCACTCGGGGATTCAACAAAGTGCTGACGCGGCACATGACCAAATAATTAACTCGCGCAACAAGCTTAAACAAAAACTATCTACGTTCACTGCCTGCTCGTTGGCTTAGGAGAGGAATTTGCAGCAGCACACCTTTTTTTTAAAGATGTTTCACTCCTCAGAGGGGATGTTGGCTAATTTGTTTAAAGAAATAGTAAATCTGCCATTCAAAAAAACCAAAGGCCAAAAAGCGTAGTGGTTACATTTATGTTCAGTTTTCATTCACCTATACAGCTGTCCTGTTTGCACCCATCCACAACATTTTATTACATCCTGAAAACACAGAGCTTTACCCATCCACCAAAAAACTGTTTCCTCTTTACACACAGGCATGGTCTGCACTGACTCTGCTGGAGCTGAAAGCCTTTACTGTAAAGCAGCAGCGTGTGTCGCAACCTGCAGTAACAAATGGAGGAGGTCATAATGTCCAAATAAGGTGTAAAAGTGTTTGTATGACTAAAACCAAAATGTTCCACAGAGTTTAATTGGGTTATTCTGTATGTTATATATTATCATTTTGATGTTCATGTGATCATTAAATACTGAAGTTCAGATAAAGCTGAGAACGAGTGGCAGGGAATAAATATTAGTTCAGATAAAACCAAAAATTGCTAAGCTACTAAATTCATGAAACAAAAAGGACAATAAAAGACTTGATGTCTAAAGTAGTATTGCTCCCAACATGTAAATCTTAGAGTGAAGCAGCAAGAAAAGTTCCCCAACAAACAAGTTCAGTAATTATAAAAGTAGACATGAAACCAGCAGCAAAACGACAAAAACCAAACTGGTCACTTCCACCAGAACTGAAATCCTGAGAGTTTAAAAAAGGCATCAAGATTTTGTTGTCATTTCTTCTTGTATGAAAGATTTTTTCATTTCTGATCATGGGTTGTGTGTTACGAGTTTTTGAAAAAAAGTCATTCATTTGACCGTGACTTACTACAGAAGTCTTTTTCATGAGAGGTGAAGTTTTTTTTTCCAAGAAGCACCAAAACAAATGTATTCACTTTGTTTTAAACTTTTAGGACTTTTAGGAAAGTGTTTACATCAACATACCAGTGCTATAGCAAAGAGACTCATGCTGCGTTCACATCGAACACAATTTGAGCATCAAAAACACGTCAAGTTGGACGCTTGTGCACTTTGAGGTCCAACGCTCGTCAAAATTGCTCGCACATCGAGAGCCTTTTGTTTTCTTCCTCCTGCCGGTCTCTGTTTAATGCCAGGTGAAATAAAGAAAGTGGTTTTGCTTTATTTACTGAGAGCAAGAGCACATCACACTCGCCAGATAATTAATTCATAACTAATTCACCAGATAATTCAGAGTAGTTCTGAGTTTGGTGAGTTTCACCACTCCAGGAGCTGCGAGCTGACAAAGCTCACTTTTTAGCACTATTTGTCTCAATCTCAGTTTGACGAGCTGCTGACCTGCTCCAGTGCTGCTTCTCCTGACAGGAGACAGACTACAGGCACTCAGTTTCAGCTGGAGAGCTCCTGTCCATCTGTTTCAGGTTAGTGGACATCGTTCAGGAAACTATCCCGTCAGAAAATACACGGCTCTATGTGGAGTCTCTCTGATTATTTGACGCTCCACGTTGAGCTGCAAACGTTCAGGTTTTCCATCTCCAGCGTTGGAMACGCGTGACGTGGGTCAAAGGCTTCAACACGTGCCACAGCCCTTCCTGATGCCCCACCATAGACTTTGCATGTAAACCTGAAACTGAAACATTTCGTTCATTTTTTTCTTCACTAATGTTCTTTTTTCTTCTATCCTCAAATGTTTTTTTATTTGCCAAATCATCATACAGTTTGTTCTCATTGTGCCAAAACTGTGCTGTTTTTTTTTTACTTATGTAAACTAAAAAACAAACACCTTAGACATAGTCTTTTTACCTACTACAAAGAGGAAAGTTCCACCAGAGATGTCTCTGCTGAAAACCAAATTTGTGAAGTGTAGCTTCAGGGCAGATTTGGGTCATGAATGTACATTTTAAATGTCATTTTATCAAATAAATAAGTCACAAACACATAGTTTTAAGATTTGCACATTTCTTTTGCTGCCTTAATGGCAATCAGATATTGTGTCTGCATAAAATCAAAACCCATGAAGGTCATTTCATGGGTTTTGGTAGGTGTCAGGTGTTTTGCAGCTGATATCTTGACAAATTGCCAATGATCTGATTTATAAAAGGCACATCAGCTGTAAACAATAACTTAGTTTATAGTTCATAGTAATATCCTTAGTACCGATGGTATTTCTTATGTATTGTTTCCTCTGCTACAGTGGTAAGTTCTGTTTAGTATCACATCTAAATAAAGCCTTTTGTTGTGCTGTTTTTATTTTCAGGGTTTTTAAATTGGCCAACTGAAGACTTGGTTTTTGGTGGATCTGGCAAAGGTAAGTCAGCTCAATGTCCTTTTTATAAACAAGAAGTTGTAGTTTGAGTTCTTTGAATCGCTACATCTCAACTATGACACTTACTGTTTAGTTTTTCTTCACTTTAGACCTGAGGGTATGTTGAGGCGTCTAGTCTGGCCAGAGCAGAGGCGTCTAGGTGGTTCAGACGGGGACTGAAGGTGAGGCGGAAAGACGGGCGAGGACCAGGCAGGAAGACATGGGCCAGTGTGTCACCAAGTGCAAGAATCCGACGTCCTCCCTCGGCAGCAAGAGTGGAGACAAAGAGAGCAGTTCTAAGTCCCACAAACGAGTCGAAAGCGCTAGTGGAGGGGGCCACAAAGAAGATTCTAGTGCCCTGTCTAGCAAATCCACCAGTGAGCTGTTGAATGGCACCAAGGCCTTGGAGRCTACAGTGGAGACGCCAATCATCTCCACAGTGATGAAGGAGCCGTACAAGGATGAAGGCCTGGATGGAGATGGGCTGTCACTGCGGCGGATTGAGGAGCTGTTCGTCTGTTACAAGGATGAACAGGAAGACGCCATCTTGGAGGAAGGCATGGAGAAGTTCTGTAACGATCTGTGTGTGGACCCAGCAGAGTTTCGCGTCCTTGTTCTTGCCTGGAAGTTTCAAGCAGCCACCATGTGCAAGTTTACAAGGTATGTTGGAGTTTGGATTGGAATGGTTCGTGTTGTATTTGCAACCACGTTGACTTTTTTCTTGTCTCTGGCAGTAAAGATATAAAACATTCCTGTTTTAATTTAAGTTTCTAACAAGATGGACCATCTATGGTAGTCACATAATAAGACAAGTTTTTACTCAGATCTGCAGAAACAGTATTTTAGGATGCTCTTACTTGTTTAGAAGGAATTTGTAAATATAACAAAACTTTTGGTTGTTACTGCATATCTCATGACAAATAGTAGCTTTTATTTTGTTTAAATGTGGTATTTTTATTCATATATTTTAATTTTATTGGCTGTTTATCCAGTTTGTTACCCTGTTTGTTGAAATACATATCCAAACCTTTATGTTCAAAACTTTATTAAATGTGTTCTGTTATTATTTACCACATTGATGTCCTCCCACTTTCCATCCACTCTTAAACTAACGATTCAGTAGCAATATTAGAAACTTGACATGTATTTATTGTAACTTCTTAGTCTAACTATTTAAGCTTCCCTTTTCTTAGATGCAGTATTTTTTTAATCTAAAATAAATAGGCTGTGTCAGTCAGTAAGGAGTCAGTAATCATCCTTAATTTGTTTTTTAGACATTTTATTTTCTAAAGGTAAAAACTCCGATAGAGCCACAAAAATATAGCCCAACACAAACACACTGTCAGATCCAGGTCTGCAGGAGGTTTGCAACCTCATAACCTGCCTGCAGTTTGTGTCAGGAGATGAATAGGACCTTTTTTGTGGCTGGATCTTTTGTTCCTGCTCCCCCCTCTCTGATTTTTGACTCAGCACATTTGCCTCCCACAGGCTTTAGACAATACAACTTAAGTTTCATTGTTAAGTGCTGCTCACTTAAGCATTTTATATGAATAATGCTCTCTTATGTTGATTTTTATTATACTTTTTTTGTAATTCTGTGAAGTCATTCTGACGTTTGGTTCTGTTTCCTTCATGCGAACAGGAAGGAGTTTGTTGAGGGCTGTAAGGCCATCAGAGCGGACAGTATTGAGGGCATCTGTTCACGCTTCCCCTACTTGCTCCTGGAGGCCCAGGTAGAAGAAAACTTCAAGGACCTTTATCGTTTCACCTTCCAATTTGGCTTGGAYGCAGAAGAAGGCCAGCGGTCGCTGCAGCGTGAAATCGCCATCGCTCTGTGGCGGCTGGTTTTCACACAGGACATGCCAGAGATCCTGGAGCGCTGGCTGGACTTTCTCGCCGAGAACCCCTCAGGCATCCGGGGCATCTCAAGGGACACGTGGAACATGTTCCTCAACTTCACCCAGGCGATCGGGCCTGACCTAAGCAACTACAGCGAGGACGAGGCCTGGCCCAGCCTCTTTGACACGTTCGTAGAATGGGAGCTGGAGCGCAGGAGAAAAGAGGAGGAACGGGCACTGATGGAGGAGGAAGAGAGGTGTACTGAGACAGAGTGTTCAACTACAGACAGGCTTGAAACTGAGGGAAGCCGTGGCTCACAGACTTGGGGGGGACACTGACAAGAAAACATAAAAAATATTTGTTCTGGAGGGAAGGATATATTCTATRTGTGAACTTGTACACCTGGGATTCATTGGATAAATATTAGCATTACCATTTCAGCTGTTAATTTAGCTTTCCTTTTAAGTTGGGATGGGATTTCTGCTATCCTGTTTTTTTTTTTTTTTTTGAAAGGGCTCTAAGAACTATTGTTTTAAGCACTTCTATTTAAGTTATTTTACTTTTCCTCCTTCCATGTGTTTTTAAATTGTGGTTCGTTTATTGCTTGCTTACCTAACCCAGCAGAGTTAGGCCAGTGAAGGTTTGGTGTAAAAAAAAATGAACAGAAAGCTATGATCACTTTTTATCATTTTCCACAATTTGAAAGCTTTGGCCTGATAACACAGGTAATTTGTATAAATTATTTCTATTGAAGAAGGGAAATTTTGGCTACCTACTGACAAACTCTAATACAAAAACCTACTACAACAATCTGAAATTCTCTCGATTGGATTAATGCTAAGTAAACTGTATGTTTTTTTTAATCTTGCAGTGCTGTGAGGATGATCTACTTGTATTGACACTTGACATCTGTTGGCCCTTTATTAGTAATATAATTCAGACACAAAGTCTTTTTAAGAATACATATTACAGTTATTTGCATAATTTTATCAGTTTGAGTATTTGAAACCCAAGTTGGTTTTCATAATAAACCGACCCTCTTCTGTGATCAGTGKTTTTTTTTTTCATATGAGTTCTACTTGAGCAGTGAGCAGCGTAGCTTGGTTGAACAGCTTCTGTGCTTCCCCTTGACCTCCAGCATCTACCATATTAATGTCCCACCTTCTTTCAATAAGCTGTTTAATGCAACTGAGTGAGGTTGGCTTTTCTCAGCTCTGTCACTAATTTCACTAAAGGAATTTTGTATCATTAAGAAAAACTACAGCTGGGTCTGGGTAATTACAAAGGATGCTTTACCTGTGTTAATTCTGGTCACCTCTCAAAGCTCTGATTGTATTGCAAGAGTTTTAAGTCTTTGCATCTTTGAACGGCTTTACTATAAAAGTGTGCTCATTTGAAAAAATAATGCAAATTTTGCTGCTGGCAATGGTTGTAATGAATTGCACAGAAACCAATGGCATGCTAATTTGCTGTACTTGGACCGCTTTGCAGAGAGATTGATGTTAGCCTTGTTTTTCCATTTGAAAAAAAAAAGCATCCAAATTGTAGACTGATTTTCAGTACAAGGGTGTTTTGTAATGAGTGTTATTAAGACCTGCTGGTTTATCAACAGACTGTGACATGGGTTCAGTATGAGGTTGACCATTATCTGATTTGTTTGGTTTACATCTAAAATGGTTTTATTTCACCCCCTTTTGTCTTGTTTTTWTAAGAAATGTACTGATTTATATTAAATAAAAACAGTGTTGAATTTTTAACCTTGACAATCTGTGTGATTTTTACAGAAAATCATATTTTCCTTTTGAACCATTTATTATTATTGATGGAGCTGTGCAGAGAGGATTGGCAGGGGGCGTGACTAACTGCTGCGGCTCTCCTGATTGGTGGGAAACCGCTGGTTACCGAGCAACACAACACACAGGGCACATGAGGCAAACCTTATTCGAACAACGGGAACAGCGACACTTCAAAAAAGAAATGCTTCACACGGATTGTAAGTACGGCTTCCATTCATCACAGTCTGTGCAAAACATGTACGTAAACATAAAAACAATGCCATTTTGCAAATGTCTTGTTTCGTCATCACTAGAGACATGCTAGCTTATTTAGCCTTTAGTTTGTTGTTAGCATTAGCGCCAGCTTGCTAACGTTACCTTTGCTAACATAGCAGTCCGATTGTGCGTCTAACAATCCACAGAGGAGCTGGAAATAAGTAAAATAAGTTAATAATAAACATTTTTCAAAACACCTGAGCTTATCTTTCACGGTAAATGCTTGTTAGGGTGTTAGCAAGGAAAAAAATGCTACGAAACCGCCGGTTCTCTGCACTTAATGTATGTTTAGTTGCTAAAGACAAGTAGTTTAGTGACAAAACCTTTTGTAAACGATGTGTTACACGAAACGGCTACAACTATGATACGCAATTGATCTGATTTGGGTTGTAGTCATACCTGTACGGTTCAAGTCAAAGCTAACCTTGGGGTTCGGTGTCACCCTGCAGTGGGACCCAAACAGCGCAAAAATAACTCAGTGGTCAAGCTTCTTCAGAGTCTTGTCAACACCGTCCTCTGCTACACATTATGGATATACAGGTGAGAGATTTGTGCTGCTACTGATAACGTTGCTTTTGATTCATTGTATTCAGTCCTTTCCATAATGCTTACTACTTTGAACATGTTATTACCTGCAGTAATGCATGTATTACTTCACAGCTATAACTAAACTGTCTCTGGACTCTATCACTAATTTTCCCTTAATGTCTTTCCCTCCTCTCTGCTTCTGATACTGACCAGGCAGTAGCCTAGTTGACTAGTAAAGACTTAAGTAAGAGCTTTGAAATGCTTGCTTGCTTTATTTATTTATTTATTTATTTATTTTTGCATGAATATAGAAAGAATGAAATGGCATGAGTGACTGGTGTATGCAAATAACTGCGGTTTAACACTACCAGCAGATTTAATCTTGAAGCAGACATCTGGTAGCTTAATTTGGGATAATTTCATTTTAGTTGACCTTATTAAAGACTAAACAAAGTGCTTGAGGATAGTTCAGACCTGTCAGATCTATTACACAGTCAYCTGGTTCTATTTAATGTGGATGACCGTGATCAGTTATCTTAGTTGATAAACTTTTATTTGATGAGTAATGACTTAGTTGTAACAGGAATTTCACATTCCGATCACTATTTCTGTCATTTTCTCTTCATGAGACCTTTGTCTGCTTTACATTAACTGTTCTTCTTGATGTTCTTCTGTTCTAATACTCAAGTGACTATTTTCCTAAGTATTTTTTGACAATTAATGTCATGGATTTAGTTGCAATGTTGTTTATCATAAAAATTCTGTGTTCTCATTGTGGTTTAAAGACAAATTGCACAAGCAATTACCAGAGGTGGGCAATCGGGGTCCTCGAGGGCCGCAGCCCTGCATGTTTTACTTTTTTCCCTTCTCCAACACACCTGATTCTGTCATTGAATCACCTCTTCCAAGTTCTGCAGAAGCCTGAAAACCATCCATTCATTCGAATCAGGTGTGTTGGAGCAGAGAAACAAGTAAAACATGCAGGGCTGCGTCCCTCGAGGACCAGGATTGCCCACCTCTGTTGTAGCAAGATGTGGCAGTCAAAAGCACCACCAAGTATTTTTGTCAGTACTACTATATAGTGGTTTCCCTATAAAATAGACCGTTAGAAGGTCTAGTTCAAATTACTGTAGTCACCATTTGACTCATCCTAACAAATGCAGGATAGGACTAATTTTAGATAAATTTGACAAGGCATTTAAATGTAGGGAAAAGTCAGAATTCTTCGCTTTCTGCAGGTCTTTAAAAAAGCATTTTTTGTTGAGTCTAAACACAAACACACAGTCTCTGAGGTTTTACTCACACCAGACTGGAGGAGCAACCTGCATGCGTGAATGCTGTGGTGCGCAGACTGAAGTTGTCCCAAGCTGTAMATGTGGAATGTTCACCGGGACTGTTTTGTTTTCATTCTAAGCTTCTTTGACTCAACACTGTGGCTCTGTTTTATTAATGTGTGTGTTCTTGAAGGAGAGCAAGACGTTCCAGGGAGACMAGCCTGCTCCTGCTGCCGATGACGCTCTGGATGAATATTTAATTGACCTCCAGCAAAAAAACAGGTGACACGGGAGCACAGGCTGCTGCAGATGGACAGATTGGATTTCACAGAGGACATACACTTTGTGATTTTTAGTTCTTTTTAGCATCAACACTGATTGGTTTGGGTACTTTGTTTGAGTATCAAAAAGTGTTTTAAATGAAAAGCACGCATGCAATATTTTGACAAAATGTGGTTCTATTTAGAAAAGTTGTTAAATGTGTCAAATTAATTTTTATTTAGGTATAACTTTTGAAATCCTTTTTTTTCTTATGTAATTTAAAAAATAGTTACCAAGTATTTTTGCTCTTCAGAATTTTAAAGCGCCTCAGAGTTAAAGACCCAAAGGAGATTGAACTGGAACGGCTGGAGCAAGGATTTTCCATTTATCTTAACGGAGCAAATGCTGAATGCAGTAAAAAGCACCTCAAGAGCTCTGATAACAAGTCCGACATCTCTCTGCCGGCTAGGAGGTCTGCACGTACAGCCGGTATGCTGCTAGACTACTTAACCTAGTTCAAATCATAGATAATTAATAAAACATTATTGCCTTTTGCAGGAAAATATGTGTTTACATATTTCCACACTGAAGTAAAAGCTGCTTTCTCATCTTTTTTATTTATTTTTTTATTCTTTCTGTCGTGTGCAGACCAAATGGAGCCTGAGCTAATTGCCACCACTTGTCAGTTTGTATTTTTTGTGGCGTGATTCCATGCCCAGTCCCAGTGATTAAATGATAGTGACAGTTGTTGCTGCCAGCATTTCTTCTTTTTTTTCTGAGTTTTTTTTTCCCCTATATGTGCTGTGGACCATCTGCATATGTGATTTTGTGTTTCCTCTCCTCCGAGGCGTACAGTCTGCTGCAAGCTGCTCATGTTCCTTTCTGTGTTGTGACTCATCCGCAGATATCTGTAGAAGCGCCCACCAGCTAGCTGAAGATAGTCGTCATCTGGATCAGTCCAACAGGAAAAGAAGCCAAACAGCCCCAGAAAAGGTCAGGAGGAAGGAATGGGTACAGGTAAGGGGTCTTCTATGTTTTAGTTTTTGATTTTACATTAAAAAAAGCAGAAATGGATCAAATAATGTTTTCTTTTGWTGCACAGGATTCTGTAAAAATTAGAACAGAGGATGGCCTGTGTTTGGAAATATCCCCAGAAACGCACTACTCTGAAGATTTTGAGCCTTATGAAAGTGTAGACATGGAGGTAGTGACTATTCCTCCTGAGACAGAGTGTGTGTGTGTGTGTGAGTGAGTGTGTAGGTGTTGTGTTTTTAGAGGAGGGGCTATGTGTGAGAATCAACTATCTTAACGCCTCTGTTTCTCTTGTTTTCTGCCTGTTCAATCTCTGCGTCATTTCCAGAGAGCGCCACGAAGTCCGCGCCGTCAGAAAGACGCCTGCAAAGTTTCGCCTTCCTTCAGCTCCAGGTCGGAGAGTCAGGGAGGCCAAGCAAACCAGGAGCACAGTGAGAAGTTGCTGCTGAACCTCGAGGACGTGAAGGTGAGCAGATTTGTGTTCTCACTCGCTCAAGATGTGCAGGATTGACGCTGCTCGTTGTTAAGGATAAGTCAGAGAAACCGTGGAAATCCCCGAACTGTCGGTCTGTTTCGTGTGTCTGTTTTTTTTTTTTGTTTTGCCTGTGAGCACTGCAGCTGCTGTCTGCGAGCGCTGATGCGTACTTAAACGTCGACCTTTGTGAACTAGGTTTTACGTCAGAGCCTGGAGGTCAGCATGCGACGGAGCAGCAGCGGCTCGGCGGGGGAAGAGTTGGACGAAGAGTGGATAGAGGAGCAGATTGAGAGGGAGGAGAGCACCGAGAGTCTGGACGAACTGGGGCTGCCTCTCTCGTCCTCCAAGTCCTCCGCTAATTCTCGGACAGGTGGGAGTCATGGCCATTTTGACTCAGGAAACCTGATTGTCCTGGACTTTGGCCCCTCAACTAAAGGTAAGCTTGTTTTCTGCTGGTCCACTTCCTCTGATATAAACCGAAGAGTCAGTTAGGTAGATAGTTCCAGCTTCGTTTGCCAGCTGTTTGAGATGCAGATGAAGAGGTGCATGTACTTTCTCTGTTTGTTTTAGGTCGTAAAATYGAACGTTCTCTGTCTGCAAAAAGGAAAGAAAGCATTGATCCCTTTATACCAACTAAACCTGTATTGGTGAAGAGCAAAACGTTAGATAGGCCATCTTCAAAAGACAGTTGGGATGATCAAAGTAAGTCTTTAAAAACATATGTGATGCTGAATGTCTAAAATTTAAAACGTTTGCGTTGAATGATGCTGATCTTTCCACAGAGCCACTGTGAGAAACTTTGTTTTGCTTTGTCTGCTTAAGGGCCAAGGAGTCGAGTGGAGAGGCCCCTTTCATCAGCYAGAAAAGCTTCGGCTGAAGAGCGAGACCCAGAAGAGGTTGCATGCAGCGTGCGTCAAGCCATACAGAGAGAAAACACTCCTGTACAGAGAGATGAGMTCTTCAGCCATGACCAGGTCTGCCTAACTTTCCTGATAATGCTTTAACTTTGCTGTTCGCAGATGTTAATCGCAGATGTTCTATAGATACACACTGACACTGGTTCCTGGATTCGGCCTTTATTTGATCATTGGTTTCTTCTCTTCTAGGCCCGGGGAARTCACATGATGAATGCCTTAAAGCATCACAGCACACATGACCAAGATGAGAACAATGTTGCTCTGGCCATGCAGAGAATAACACTCATGGGTCCTAGGTAATCTTTAGTTTGGTTTCCCTCTACAGTTTTTCCTGCTTCATATCCTTCGATCTAACCCTAGCTGTAAGAATGGACAGCATGCACACCCTGCTACACCTTAAACATTTTTGTATTGGAWAGGGCTGCRGTGTGACCTCAAATTCATATCACAGTWTAARTTGAATCCCTTCACGGTAACGGYATATATCGCGGTAGAAAATGATCATAAAAAGCAAAGATAATGTAATTTTTAGAGCATCTATTTAAACTGTAATCATAATCAAACCCRGCATTTTTTCTGTAGTGCAAATGAACACAACAGAAGTACAAAAGAATGTTTTATAYATAATGCAAAACGGTTTCAACAACAAATAAAAACATTTCTCAAATTTTCAACAATATCAAAATAAAGTGGATGTTATAACCAGTACTTCAAGTAAAATTAGTCATTTAGACATTAAAAAAATACTAAGTTGACATAAGTTGACTAAAATGTTATAGTGTGGCAGGACCTTAAGGGGCTTAAGTTGCACATAGTCCTGTCATAAAACTATTTCACATAACTGGAATGTGTGGTGAAGCCAAATAAATGTAACTTCTGCCTGCCGTACAGTGAGCTTCTGCCTGCTGAACTGATCCGCTGCTCTGCTGCGCTCTCATCTTCATCATCTTCATCATCAGAGCAGAACTGTTACATTAGCAAGATGGATTTATGACTGAACGAACGTCCACGTCTTTTTTTATCATCTCTGTGGGTAAAAATACATAAAAAACAAGTTTGTTCTCCAACAACTTGGGTGTGAAAAAAACTACGGTTGTTAAAGCTTCGCTCTGTTAGACGTGCAGCGGGAGGGAGGAGGAAATGATCCCACGTCCCGAAACATGACATAACTTTTCTACAGCTGGAGGGGGAGATTTTGTGTTTTAAAAAGTTATATTTCTTCATTATATTTGGAACTCCTCCTGCTCAGTTGTCTCTGCACTCGCAGCCCTGTTGACACAAGTGCGATGACGTAACTGACGACAGGACGGTGGAGGGTAAATTTCTACAGTCTATGGCACATACCAATAGAAAGATTATATCCATGTGATAATTCTGTTCAGGCAACAACAGAAACTGCTGAAAGCCCTGGAGAARCTAGAATCTGGACCCGGACGCAGCGTCCCTCAGAGTGCCCAAACAGACCACAACAAGCAGCCCGTGAGTCAGCAGCACCGACCTGTTCTTTAGCACGGTTCGTTCTGAGCCTGCCGGGTGTCACTCTGGTTGAATGGTGCCGTGTTTGTCTTTGCAGAGAGTGCTGTCATCAGCAGAGGTCACCCCCGCCTTGTATGTCACCATGGAGATCCTGTCAAACTGGGGGAACGCTCTGCAGGTCGGGCTGACAGAAGTGCAGTTCTTCTGTCACAGAAACAAGAAGTTGTACGTCTCGCCTCATGACCTGGACATCAGGAATGCCGACTGCCCGGGGAATCTGGGTGCGCTGGTCAACGGAAAGGTGAAGGTGGGTTTCTGCCGCCTCTGTCGTCGCCTCCTCGGAGCGAGATCTTAGATTAAATCTGCTTCCTTACAGTCTGAACCCCGCAGGGACAGAGCTGTGTTTAGTATTCATTCTTTCTCCCCTCCTGGATTGACAGACCACGAAAGAGCGTCACATGTGGACGTGCCCCTTCCACCCTCCCATCCAGCTCTACTTCATCATCAGGAACACAGAACACGCTCCAGAGTTTGGAGTATCTTATATTAAAATCTGGAACTACAACCGGAGCCTGACCGTATGTCTATTTTTTTCTCTAACATATCAATATAGATTTTTAAAACCCTAATTGCTCAAGTTCAATCTGTTCCACACCTCAGAGATCATTTGCTTTGTGYCATCCAGCTGGCAGATGGACCCCACAGCTTGTGTGTTGTCATTAGATTGTGTGTGTGATTTGTTTAGGGCACGTCAGGGGGAGTGGTTCTCTTTAAAGTGTGGCTGCTTGAGCYGCCAGTCAGTTGATCCGAATATAGAGCAACGAGAGATTACCCTCGGGGGATTAGTGTAGCATGAGCTTCTTTCTCTCAGCGTCCCTGCTGTTCATAGAAAGATCCAAAAGCTTCATCACATTTTGGAGTTTTCTACAACCATCAGGGATGATTTCCTTTTAAATGTTTTTTATTATTATTATTGTGAATGAAGAGCTCAACTCTTTAGGTAAGGAACTTTAAGAGGCATGCAGATTCGGGTTGGAACTCGTGGGTTTAATGTTTGGAGGATCAAGCAGCTTTGATTGGACTTGTTGTTYGTTATAGTGCTAATCAAGGTTATAATAGTTTTGGATTTTTCATTATAGTTTAGTTTTATTTTGTTTTGACTTTTTTTCTTTTAATTCCGTTAGTTTTAATTCGTTTTTACAGTGGATTTTCTAGTTTTTATTAGTTACTATTGCATTTTTAATGCTTAGTTTTAGTTTAGTTTCATTTTTATAAGTTCCAGTATTAGATTTTTTTATAGTTTGAATAAACATATTTGCCAATGCATCCTCCATCCTGTGATGTTCATGTGAGTTAACTAACCAACAGCTATTTGGTCGCTATAAAGCAGACGTTATAGCGAAACCTTCCTAAAATAATTGTATAATTCAATTTCGCCAACTAAAAACTTGGGCGTTTATTTTAGGACGATGAAAATAATTGTCTCCAACCCGGTGCTACCTGCTGCTTGTTTTTCAGAGATCCACATGGCTCAAAATAAATTGACAAACATTAATACTAAGGATATTCTATTTATAATTTAGTTAGTTTTGTAAAAGGATTATACAGTTTTAGTTAGTTATCTTTTTTTTTTCATTTTATTACAGTTTTTATTTATTTCAGTTAAAATGTTTTTTTCAATTTCAGTTTTTGTTATTTAGTTTTAGTTAACTATAATAACTCTGGTGCTAATTACTGTTACTGGCCTGGAAAGTTCTTATGGGAATAAGTCAATTATTTGACAGTGTTCTAGCCAACGTGCAGCTAAAAGTCAGTTTAAAAACTGTAAGACATCTCTATAAATTCAAGATGAAAGTAATGACAGTCGTTTCTTTTCCAGGACCTTGACATAGGCGCTCGCCATATAAAGCTGTACCTGAACAGCACACTTGTGTTTGAAAGTGATTTGGAAAAGGGCTGCGGCAACCAGGTTTTTGACTACAGCACCACGATCAATCTGAAGGATTTCCAGGCGCCGGACCCCTCGTTCTCCAGCCCCGTGGCTTCAGGGCACAGTCTGCGTGGTGCGAGTCCACATCACTATGAGGACAGGAGGAGTAGTGAGGGCGGCAGCTGTCAGCGACACCAAAGCTCAGTAGGTTTACCGGACCCAGCAGGCCAGACTATGATGGACATGCAGGAGAAAGCTCATACACCGCTGCCACCCATCACTGCCTCTCGTCGCCCCGCCTCACAAAGAAGCTCTTTTGACTTGTCTGCGTGTGAAGAACCCCTCTCCCCCAGGCAGCAGGCGCAGCAGACTGTGACCACCCAGCCTTCGTCCTCTCGGGCTGCGCCCCAGTGGCTTCAGCCCCTGAACAGAGCTGCTCCAGAGGGCTGCGAGGCAAACCGAGAGAAGCCCCGCTGGCTGGTACCTCAGCACTCTTTAGAAACSAAACCGCATCCCGTCTCGTCCTCCTCCATACTCCCAGAGCTGCCCTGTAACCCAGGCCGGGTGTGCAGAGGGATCGACAGGACAGTGAACGGGGGGCAGTGGAAGGAGGAGTCTTTGGACCTGAGCTGTGACCTGCTTGAGGAACTGGGGGAGCAGAAGCCTGACAGGCCYGTCAGCGGACGCAGGAGCTCGTTCAGAAACTCCTCAGCCACGGTTAGGCAGACAGAGGAACAACAGCACAGAGCCACAGCTCTGACAAACCCTGGTAGGCTGTGGTAACATCTCTTGTGTTAAAGAGGCTATTTATTACAGTAAGGGTGTCYCCATACCAGTGTACTCGCTAATACTGATGCTGAGTATTTACTGTGTTAGAACATAAACATTACACATTGGGCCTCATGCAAG